ATTCTTCACTTTGATGATACAAGTATGAAACTTTCTCACATTCTTACTATGCCTATTAACACAAAATTTTGATATAGGGCCAGCCCATATTTTACATTTAAAACGAGTTCTGCGAATGTCATGTTTGATGACGTCATCAGTAGTAAGTAAAATAAAGTTCAGAGAAATCTGCAATTTCCCTGTATATTCTTATACAACAGCTAAAGACGATAAAAAAACTATATTACAACTTTTGCTTTTGAGCAATACATTCTGAAATATTCTACATTAAAAGTGTTTTTAAAGTGCTGACTCAGCACTTTTGTTCAGTGCTATTGCTCTTTCTTAAATACATCGGAAAAGCGCCTAACGAAGAACAGTAATATTAAAATAATTTTAATGCCCTCATGTTATTGACAATCACCCCCACAATTACACAAATGAGTACAAACTAAATGTGCTTTGACGCATTTACAACGACTAGAACATGAACTTTGCATCCGAATAAGTTCATAACAGGCATCTTTAACTTGAGGGAGATTTGTCCACTTTGGTAACCAAGAATTTTCATCACGGTACCAGCCCCAACCTGACGGAGTTGGTATAACCTGCTCTTTCAAGCAGCACTGCCCCCAGAAAAATCCACCTTGCAACAATGCACGCTTAGTGTGCTGGAGCAACGCTTCTTGGGTTGGTGGAATGTTATCCAGTGTTCTTGACTTTTTGGCAAACAACTCTTGTCTAGCCTCATTGACTCTGGTGAGATTACTTGTACGATCGTATAAGAGGACCACATATCGCTCAATCACCTGTAAAGCATTATATGAATCATAATAGAGACCTTATTTGATAGATACAGGCCTTTGGCGGTTTCTGAATTACCTGCAAGGACGAACAATCAATCCTTTCTGGTAACAAATTTAGCTCTTGCAACGCTAATGTTAGCTCTGGAAATACATTCCATACATCCCATGCAGTATTCTTTCCTCGACCTCCAAAAAAGGAAAGAGTATCACACCCCATAAAAGCGTGAAACAACGGTAGAACAGATGCCTTGTCAGGTCCGATAGTCGATGCAATTGTATGCGCGGGAATATAACGCGAGTGCTTTCCTGTGCCATAAAGAATCCATAATTCTTCTGCTTTGATGTTTTTCACAATTGAAATGGCCAGTATCAATACGTCAGTATCATTTGTTCTTACAACAATCCTCTGGCGGCCGCAGTCACTTGCATCTAACACGTGCACCATCAATCGTGTGTCAGCCTCTTCATGATTACATGGTTCCAACATTGATACTTTGGTTCTTTTAGGGAAGCACAAGACCTTTTCTTCAAATGTACTGTAAATTTCTCTTCCTTCTGGAATCTGCTGGGAAATAACTTTCTGCGCTAAGAAATTGAATAGATCCATTTTGTTGGCATCTACGTGCAGGAAGCCCTTCCAGTCAGTAGGGATCAGTGGCGTGCGGTGACCGAATTTAATAGGCAAGCGCTGACAGTGATTCCACAATGCATTCAGTCATGTTGTACAGGTGTCGTGAAAATACCGAATGTAGAAGTAGAACATAAAAGGATGAAAATTCCTATGCTATATATTTTATAGTAACATCAATCTTATTTATACCTTACATCAGTTACATGATATCTACCGGATACAAATATCAAAACAACTACGCAAAAGGAAGCTCTTGTCAATATCATAATCTTGTATTACATGCTACAGATAATATCTTCTACATACATAAATTGCAAGACAATAGGCGCGAAATGTATTGTAGCAGTCGTGATTATAACAATTAAGAACAGCCAGTTTCGCGCACAAATTGGCACGGTGTGTTACAAACTGAGGCCATGGCGTTGTTTAATGTTTATATTTTGGTATAATGACGTCATGGCAACGTGTTCTCCCGTTCTTCAAAATGTGTCTGGCACTGACTCGTACGTTTCAGAATATCGGAGAGTCGTGTTTATTATTTAGTATCTTGTACCTTTTATTTTTAGTCATTAATTTACGAATTCAACGACACAAGACTAACAAGAGCATAGTGTTTTGGTCATAATGCTAGTCATACTTTACCACAACACACGTTTGCGTGCATTTCGATATCTCTGCAGACTGCGGCCCCTGGTTGTTTACGCACATTGTGCGCAGAAAATAGTAAAATAACCAGTAAAGCACCTACTACTTTGAATTAGAAATCAGAACATTACCTTTCGCTCTCAGTCATCTTTTAATAAACGATAACATTAACGGCGTGAATAATTCGGATGTCCAATGTGTTGAATATACGAATATTATTCGTGCGCTGATATGTGTTTAAAATTGCGAGCGTACAAGACTGTTGACCAATCGCTATCAAGCGGCGCCCTTAGAAGCGCCGCTTGCCTTTTCTCGATATTCCTCGAATAAGAAGCCTCCAAATCTAGATTAACGCATGTGCAAATGTTCAAATTGAGCTCCGAAGGCAAGCGCGCTTGCCTTGGTTAATAAATATTCTGTGTATTTAATCCACTTGACTCATCTTACAAGTGTAGCAAAGTGAAACCGAAAACCACGACAGTAAATCGCCTATAAATAGCAAGCATTTCAACTGTAAAGACAATTTAGACAAAAGATTACATTGACATTGTTTAGAACAGAAATATTTAAACTGATTTTGCTCAAAGATTGATCCAAAAAATTTTTGTTCGGTAAAATGCTTAGGCAAGCGGCGCTTGCCTACGCTTGCATGACCGCACGCCACTGGTAGGGATACGTGCTGTCGATGAAACCTTGCGGCGTTGACCAAAGCCTCTCTTCTCCCGTGCGTTTTTTTTTCAGCGAATCCTCTTTGTATACATCCCACACTAAATCAATTCTTTTAGCTGATCGAAATTGCTTTAACACATAAGGAATGAAAGCAAACTGAGGGTACTCTTCGAACGTTTCCCAAGTTCCAGGTGAAATCATTTGAACAACAACAGCCCCGTCTAAAATAATAACATCGGGAGTTGGTGACTGAACTTTGGTAATGGGCTTGATACACTTTGTCAAGTCTGCTTTATTACCAGTACGCAAACTTCCTGCTTGTGAGAGAGATGGTGGCCATGGTTGGTTCTCATATTTAGGGCTAGGACCATCGTGGAAATTTGTGGATTTCGGTCCACAAATTTCCATAACATCCACCCAATGGAAATTTGTGGAAGTTGGAAATTTGAGGATCTCATTTTTTGGAATTTTTTTTTTTGGAAATTTGTGGATGGAAATTTGTGGAATGTGGAAATTTGTTTATTTATATTTTTGGAAAATTGTGGAATGTGGAAACTTGATTATTTCAATTTTTTTTTGGAAATTTGTTGAATGTGGATTAATTATTAAGGAAAAAGTGTTTTTATTCATTTTTTTAAAGAAAATTTATTTTTTCTTACCTTAATATTTCTACGAAATTGAGATTAACATTGCTCTTGAAATATCTCTTTTGTCTGTATGAAGAATTTATTCTTTTTAAGTCCGTTATTGGCTTCTTCCATGTTTATTCATTTCATCAGATTACTATTTTCCAGGGTTCCAAGCAAAGCTGTGGAACCCTGAAAAGTAGTAAATCCAGAGAAATCTAAAATTTTTGATTTCCATTTCATAGGTGCAGTTTGCCTTTAACGAATGCTTATGAGCTTGAATAAAACAGTGATCTACAAGTTTAAGAATTTTTTTTTGTTGTACAAGTCATTTATAATAACAAATATAATATAAAACGTACTTCAAAATATTCTTTTTAGCTGATCAAAGTTAGTCACATATTACCAATATTCTATTAATGTAATACATTCTAAATGTACTGACCTCAATTAACATAACATAAATATTTCTGTCCAAATAGCCTAACTTTTATATATATGATATCAAAATATGAATATTATTTACATAAAAATTTACATTTCAGATTCCTTCCTTATCGCTTCTTTGCTCGTTTTATGTTTCTGAACTTATCCCTGAGTTGCTGTCTAGTGTATTTTTTCAAAATTTGGTAATATTGACAGTCCTCGGACTCACCAATTGCATGGATTATGTCTTTTGTAATACTACTTGGTGGCAGGTGTGATGTTGCTTCTTGAATAGCTTGAAAATCTGCCTCACTAAACGTTTTTCGCAATGATACAGATGATGACTTAGAGGAAGTTTCTTCGGCTAAAAACAAGTTTCTCTTTGCAATAACTACTCTTGCCTCCAAAGGCACAATTTTTGGAGAAATTCTTTCAAAGTGGCTTTCAACCCAAGTCTCAGCTTTTTCAGCAGGTGTTAAGGCTTTCATTTTACATGTCGAATACTGGACTTGTGATGATTCACACTCTTCTTCATCTTTTGAAACTTGTTCTTCCTGTACTTGCAAGGCTTCTTGACGTATTTTTTCTGCATTTATTTCTTCTGACTCTTCATCTTTGCTTTCATGATCAGCAATTTCCTTTAACACTGGAGGGCCCAAGGGGTCATATATGACCCCACGATTTTCATGGGCCGATTTGAACCTATGCGTTTACACACAATAAATATTGACCCTATTGGGCCAAAGTCCCATATATGACCCCTTATTCGTGGAGGTCTGGTAGCTATTGCATATGCTATGTCAGCAGAATATTTTCACAAAGATGGCGTCCTTTGCCCATGAGTGTGTTGATGTTTGTTGGTGAATTTCAAGGCTCCATCATGCTTTTTATAGGGACTTTGTGAGAAAATCACTGCACACTGATAAATATTTAGCTCTTCCTTTATCTTTCAGTAGTTTTTTGTGCAGTATTGTTGCTTTCTTCATGAAATAAATTCAATTTGAAATATACGGGTCATATATGACCCACTGGGCTTTACGTCAGGTGAGCCTCTTATTGCCTTGTTGATATATAAGCAGTTTATATTGAGCGTATGAACTATATTGTAGACGTTTTGTCGAATTGTTTGTTAAATACAAATTTCTTATTTGTATATATGAATTCATTTCAGAAATTTTCAGTGTTTAAATCTTTTCCTCTTCATTGTATTAGTCAATCATGTCCACAAAGAACAATGATTACACAACCAACGATGTTCTCGCAATTCTTGATGGTGACAAAAGCGATTTCAGTGAGGGTGGTTATACTGATTGGTCTGAAGATGACAGTATGTCTTGTGGGGACAAATCATGGAGCTTGGCTGAGGCTGGTTTTCAGAATGAACCAGTATTGAGTGGCAACGAAGATGATGGTTGCAATTGCAATGGTGAAGATCCCGAGGTTTATAATAGTGCTGAGGACATACCCTTGACTGCCAGATTAGTCAACAACAAGAATCGCAGTGTCCAGTATATATGGAAAAAGAAAACATTCAAGCCACAGAGTGACAAATTTCAAGGAAAAACTGTGACGGCCACAGATCCTATTGGTTTGTCTGAAACGCCATTACAGTATTTCAAGCGATTCGTTACTGACAAAATGTTAGAGCATATTGTGGAGCATACCAACCGATATAGCACACTGAAACATGGAAGATGTGCCAATGCATCTTTGAAAGAAATGGAGCAGTTATTAGGTATGTATTTCAAAATGGGTCTTGCTGAAATGCCATCTTACAAAATGTATTGGGAAAATGGAACTAGATACCCAGCAGTTGCTGATATTATGAGCAGGAACAGGTTCAAGCTGCTTTTGGGTACAATTCATTTTGTGGATAATGAAATTGTTACTGATGACAAGAAGAAAAACAAGCTTTGGAAAGTTCAACCATTCTTGGAAATGTTTCGCATGCAATGCCTTCAAGTCATTCCAATTCAGCATCAGTCAATTGATGAAATGATGATTCCATACAAAGGTAAGTTTGGCAACATTCGTCAGTATGTAAAAGGCACACCCCATCCCTGGGGATTCAAGGTTTGGTGTAGGTGCTCACCGAGTGGCTTGCTACATGACTTTGAAGTCTACCAAGGAAGAGTTGAGGGGAGAAAAAAGAGTGAATATGGTGTTGGTGGCTCAGCTGTTTTGAAATTGTGCGAAACTCTAGAAAAATATGCTCAGTATAAAATATATGCTGACAACTTTTTCACCTCTATCAAGCTGATTGAGAAGCTTTCAGCAGATGGATTTTTATACGCTGGAACAGTGAGGCAAAACTGTTTGGGCAAAGCTCTGAAATCCAAGCTTTTACCAGAAAAAGATCTCAGTCGAAATGGCAGAGGCTCCTACGATGTTAGAGTTGAATCCACCAGAAGTATCGTCTGCCTCAGGTGGCTTGATACCAGGGCAGTCACCATGTTATCCAACTATGCTGGCGCTGAACCAATTGACCAAGCTCGTCGTTAGGATAAAAGTACTAAAGCATACATTCAAGTGAACCGACCTTATGTGATCAAGGAGTATAACAATTATATGGGCGGCGTAGACATGTTAGATTGTCATATTTCCAAGTGCAAGTTGTCACTCAGATCACGCAGATGGTACATGATTCTGTTTTGGCATTTCATCACTCTTGGTATGATAAACGCATGGCTCATTTACCAGCGCGATTGTGAGCTGTTGAAAGTGACAGGGAGTGACGTGCTGAAGCTCCGTGAATTCCAGGCAATGGTTGCACAAGGTTTGACGGACGTTGGAACCAGCAAAAAACGTGGTAGACCATCTGAGGAGAAGTGTACCCCAAAGGCACAAAGGTGGTAAGAGTAGAACCATTCAGGACGTACGATATGACCAAGTTGCACATTGGCCATATAAGGGGAAAAAAAGACGTAGATGTGCTGTATGCAAAACGATAAAAACGGATACATACTGTGAAAAATGCAACATTCCACTATGTTTCAATGAACGCCGAAATTGTTATAAGGTATATCATGTAAAATAGTTTTTGCCATGTTCAAATCTTTTTTAAATTACCCATTTATATATTTTACCAGACACATACAGTTTTATCATAGTTCTTTTTTTTATAAACGGTTACAATTTTAATAAACAGTCATTATTTTGTTGTTAGCGTATTGTATTACTTAACACCCACGAAGGCCCAATGGGTCACATATGACCCATTTGCCCAATTTGTTCGGATTGCACGAAATTCTTAAAAAAGACCTCTGTTATGTTTAACCGGCCCATAGTAAGTGTTCTTGACTGATAAAAAATTTTTTTCTCACGTAAGCAAATTATGGGCCCTCCAGGGTTAAGTTAGTGGTCAATTTTGAAATGGCTTTAGATATGTTCACATCTTCTCGGTCGGTGTTGCACACATTGTAATATTTCTCAGCAGTCCTCACATCATGCGTCATTTGTCTTGCCAACTGATCTTTTGTTATGGTGGAGTGCTGCTCTCTTTGCAATGATATTATAGATTTGCGTAAGTTACTACTTTTCAGCGTTCCAGGTAAGTCTATGTTCAACTTTTTTCCGAACTCTATCAGCCTTCTACTAACTCGGCTCTCATCCAGAGCTTTTCCAGAAATGGCAATGAAAAATGCACCTTTACTATTGCTTCTGCCAGGCTCAGGACGATGATGAGAAGACAATGTAGCAAAAATTTGCCTCATGTTATTTAAGTAGGCATCTGCTATGCATTTTAGGGTATTGTCCCAATATAGCTTTGCGGGACCTAAGGATTGTGTCTTGTGTACCAGTGTTTTTGTTACATAAGTGTGCTCTATCCATTCCCCTTTTTCAAACTCATCCACAGTTAAGTTTGCAAGTGCCCCGGATCGTTGGGCACTTCCAAGGACAAGCATTAACATGAGATAATCTCGGACTGTGCAAAATTCATTCACTTCAATGTAGTAGTTAGGTTTTTGTGCTCTAGCACAAATTCCTTTCACTTCTTTCAATATTGAAGTGTTGGTCAACTTCTCAAAGTCCTTTGACCTCAGCCGTTGTTTTTCTGCTTTTTTTCTATTTTCATTTTTGCGTTGTTCACTAGCCGTTCTGAATGAAGATGGCCAACATTCCAATCTTTTTATTGCACTTTGAATTAATTCAAATTGCTCTGAATTTAACTGAGGGAAAATGTTGTTTATCATCACTTTTCTGGCAAGCATAAACTTCAACCATAACTTCAGAGAGACAACATATGTTTTTAGCGTGTTTGGAGCCCTTGGCTTTTGTAAGAGATCGTTTCCAAGGAAGAATGAATTTCTTAGCTGATCTAAGCTTTCATCTTGCCACAAGATGGATGCGTCATTTGGTTCATCTTGTAGCTCGTAAAGCAAGCGACAAATCTGACGAGAATGATCTGATGCATCCCTTGGTTTTCTGAACTTTCCTTCAAATGATATCAAGTATTGGTAAAACATTTTGATAAGAGGCAGTTTTTCTATTCTTTTTATTCTTTCCGATGAAAGCTCATCTTTCGGTTTCCTTGGTCTTTGGGACATGTTTTGGACTGCTTGTTCGACATCATCATCCTTTGTTGTGTTTTGTTGTTCTTCTTCATGAGGTACAAACTGTGAGTAATTTACGTAGTTGCTTCTTTCTTTCCGTCGTTTTGCCATTGTTTTCTTCATTTTCAACTCATCTTTTTTATATTTTCTTGCAGCAATGGCTTGTCTGTTGTAACTACAAAATAGTGGAATACGTAATGACATCACCACTGGTTAGATAGAGAATGCTCATTTAACAAGAATTTTTTGTCATACCGAATATATTCTTCACTTTCCCTTTGAAAGCGATGAAAATTAATTAGGTGTTTGTCAAGTCTAATTAGAGTTTTTTCACAGTTTATAACAGGACATTTAGTTTTTTTGTCTTGCAGATTTTGGATTATCTTTTAAAGCTCTGTGCTTTGAGGCCAACGTTTGTGCACGACGCTTGGACATTTTGTGGTATTTTTTTAAATGAGATGATAAATACTTGAATTGTCCTTTGCACTGAGGGCATCGCTTGTATCGTCTTTGCCACTGAATAATTAAAATATTAAATTGACAAAACTTCAAATGAAAGCATCTAAAAAGTTTTTACCTTTTGTTCTTCTTGTCAGAATAATACTTACTTTCAGAAAGTGTTTCTATTTCCTTCAAATATAAATGTGTAACAACTAAAAATACAAAATCAGGGAAAGACACCGAAAATAGCACCTTCTCTTCTCCATTTGAAGACACGTCATCCCCAGGCGTTTCGTCAATTTCTTCCTCAGTTTCACATTCCAGTTCTTTTCTTCTTTTTCGGAGGCTCATTATCACTTTCCTTTTGGAAAAAGGTTTGTTACATTTATTCATACAATGTAAAATTGAATAGATAAAAATACCTCAAAATGAAAAGCAATATTTTTCATTTTGTGCCTTGTTCTTGTTGGACTGTCACAAATCTCCTAAAAATGAAATAAAACATATTTCATATAAAAAAAGCATAGATAGTAAAGCTTTGTTCTTTTTAGTTACAAAACTACCTCTTCGCTACTACTTGATGACAGTTCACCCTCTTCTTTTTCTTCATTCGATGATGTTTGAATAATCTCTCCCTCCTCTTTTGACGATGTTGATGACTCGCCACTTTTTTCTATAAACAAATTTGCTTCGGCCTTTTTGTAATTGAAATTGTTGGCAGTTCCATAAATTCTAATGAGTGCTTCAGGTAGAAGCACCGAAGATGCAAAGTCAAATAGATTACTGGCTTTGGTAATGTTGTATCTTTCAAGAATTAACTGCAATGTCTCCTCATGTTCATTCGTTGTAAAAAAACCCATTGGGACATTAAAGTTTAAGTCATCTCGGTCACGGGAAGACTTATAAAAAAGTCTGTATCTTTCACAATCACCTTCACCCTGTCGTATCATGTCCAAATCTTCAGCAATCTCATTAAAGACAAGTTTTACATTGACTTTTTTTGCTGACATCTTCCTAAGTAATAAAGATGAAAAATGGATTTTTTTGTAATTTTGCTAAAAAAATTTAAAGATTTATCTCCCCCCGGATTATTTCCACTGTCACCAAAATTAAATGGTTACATTGGCCATTGAATGTCCTTACATATACCTTTAAAACATTAAAGAAAATAGGAAATTGACATTTTACAAAAATTTCAAATTTTAAAGCTGTATCTCCCCCCCTGGATTTTTTTAACAGTCACCAAAGTTAAATGGTTAGATTGGCCATTGAATGTTCTTACATATGGCTTTAAAACGTTTGTCGCAGAATTCACTGAGTTCGTCCAGAAAATTGATCTGCACTCTGATTCGGTTTGTTTTATGGAGTTTATTAGCAATGAACAATCTACACAATCTCTTCGACTATTACAAATTTGAGTCTATTTATATGTTTACATTTCGTGACTTACGTGCACTATTACAACATGAATTAATTAAGAGAGAAAATACTTAGGAAGTGTTAAGTATATACACCCTAATTTTTAATTATAATTTTGGCACACATAAAACTGTGCATGGGAACTTATAAAATCTGGCATGCAATAAAATATATAAATGAAATATCCTAAATTATACAACAACGTTTAAGTAAATAAGTATCACTTTTAAATAATTGGAAAAAATGAAGAAAGTCAATTTTCCCCCCCTGGATTTCGCGGCGGCTCGAGACGCTCAAAGGCATTTGCCTAGATTTGGTAATGATAAAGAAGATAGCATGGTGTTCTTTTCTTAAAACGATTAAACAAATGAGTTATGGACTCGGAAGGGTATACACTTAACAACAAGTTTAACAATATATCATCTGTAGTAATGATGACAAAAAAAAAACACTGCAAACTAGATTGACAAAGTTCAAAAACCAAATAAAAAGCAGTTGCAAGCATAAGAAGCACGTTACATGCTTAAGATGAAGTTTTAATTTTCAAATGGAAGTTGAAATACAAAGATGAAAAAATAAAAACATGGAGTGAAATGATATTGTCAAAGTTTACCCTCTTTTTAAATGAAAAACTTTAAATTTTCGTATCAAGCAGGTTCTTACATACCTTATGTTGCTAATTATTAGAAAAAGCTAACGAAAAAGCTTCAGATTCCCCCAAACGAACCAAAAACACTCCTCTCTCAAAACATGGTGTTTCCAATATGGCTGCCAGGTGAAAAAGGAAGTAAAACTTATAAAACAGGCGTTTATTAGAATAAACTTGTTTTATAGATATAGTTTAATATTTTCTTAAACATGTTAAAGCCATATGTAAGAACACTGTATGCCAAATATACCATTAAACTTCGGTGACTGTTGAAGAAATCCAGGGGGGGGAGATACAGCTTTTACAGAATTATTAGAAGAAACTTGTTTTAAAGATATATTTTAATATTTTCTTAAACATCTTAAAGCCATATGTAAGAACACTACATGCCAAATATACTATGAAACTTCGGTTACTGTTAAAAAAATCCAGGGGGGATATCGACCATTTAAAATTTTATATTTTTGGAAAAAATCAATTTCATATTTTCTTAAACATTTTAAAATGATATATGTTGTAAGATTATTAGATGGAAAATATAACCATGTAATTTTGATGACTTTTAAAAGAATCCAGAGGGGAGAACCACCGTTAAAAATGATATTTTACAAAAAAATAGAATCAATATGACAGATACTCCTGAAAGTCTGTATGGTAGTTCACACACCATAGACACACGCACATGGCCATTTTTGTAAAAACTGAATAAGATTTAAAGACAATTTCCCTTCAATCCACAAATTTCCATCAAAAAAAGTAAAAAATCAACAAATTTCCAAATAATCAACAATATTCCACATTTTTTGTCTTGGAGGTAGTTTATTGAGATTTTCCCAAAATTTGTAAAAAAAAGCACATTTAGATAGCTTATAAAATGCCAATCATAGGTAGCTAAGGACAAAATTTCATATCTTGAAAAGTAAGCATATTAAACAAATAAAAAAGATATTTTTAAAAAAAAATAGGATCAATATGACAGATACTTCTCAAAGTCTGTATGGTAGTTCACACACCAGACACACGCACATGGCCATTTTTGTAAAAACTGAATAAGATTTAAAGACAATTTCCCTTCAATCCACAAATTTCCATCAAAAAAAGTAAAAAATCAACAAATTTCCAAATAATCAACAATATTCCACATTTTTTGTCTTAGAGGTAGTTTATTGAGATTTTCCCAAATTTGAAAAAAAAACACACAGTTAGATAGCTTATGAAATGCCAATCATTGGTAGCTAAGGACAAATTTTCATATCTCTTAAGGGTAAAACGACAATTAAGAAAAAGTAAATCAGCCAGTTTTTTTGTCTAAAAAATGAATCAAACAACATAGCACAAGAATAATTTGTTATTAGAACACTCATGCAGTGTTTGGTGCTTCCAATATTAAAAATTCCTTAGATAAAACAATTTTTAAAAATCCACAAATTTCCACGATGGTCCTAACTCATTTTAAAAAAATCAACAAGTTTCCATAAAAAAATCAACAAATTTCCACAGATCAACAAATTTCCAAAAATCAACAAAATTCCATAATAATTCAATTTGTTCAGATTTCAGCATAAAGATCGAATTTTTTTTTAAAAAAAAGCACAGATTCATTCTAAGCATCGCATTTTACTTAGGGAACAATAGCTTTTTTCTTTTCTGAGATATTTTAAGTTAACTTTTTCAAAATTTGGTCTTCGTATGAAGAAGATGTATCAATGAGTGAACTACTTGACACTACCTAGACTTTGCCGAAAACTAAATCGAGAGGTAGGACCATCGACAGGGTTTCGCACTGGAAGGTCGGGGGGGGCAGGGGAGTGCACCCACGAAATTTCAGCTCACGCGGTGAAAAGGGCGTGGCCTTTTCAGAAAAGTGGAAATTTGTTGATTTTTTTTTTGTATTATTAAATAACTCCGCCCCTTTTAGAGATACAGCCGTCCCCAAGAGGTATGTAATTGTGTGTCAGTAGCACTATCCTCATGCAAAAGCAGGTCACCAAAGACGGCCTCGTTACTTCTTAAATGCCTTTAAAGTATCGATCCACAAATTTCCAATGGTCCTAATTAAAGAAATCATCGAGATCACCACTTCGATTTTGACTGGCTATATACAATCTTGAAAATAAAGCACAGTCTAGTTTCAGAGTTTGTATATTTACTTTATCTTTTGACGAAACTCTTTTTCTTCCTGTTTTAAACGTTGGCAGATTATTTTTTTTTCAACGTTTCAGTAATACTCTTGCTTCTCTCAACAAATCTTTCTTTAACAAATGCTTGATATTGTTCTTCTCCAAGGGTTACAACATTCTTCACCGTGTCAACAACGGAACTGTTCATCACGTCATTTGTGTGGATGGCAAATAGGTCTTCGCTCTCTTCTACAAAAGGATTCTCCATCGCTTGAAAATTGGAGACGACATTTGAGACATCTTTATAGATTCTCTTTGAATGGATGGAGTTTGCTCATGGTGTAGCTGACTGTCTACATGTGTACTCATCTCGAATTCCCTAATTATTCGTGCAATTTCTGGACCTGCAATCATCCATCTCCTTAAAGCTGAAAGGTTTTCAGTTAGTCCCACAGCACCACCTTCTCCCTTTACCACTGCATTAACTTGCTCGTGAGCATGATCTAATGCTATAGCTGAAAACTGTTTCTTCATTTTATGCACCACAAACGAGCCCTTGGAGAACTGGTTAAAGACGTCAGGGTGTTTGAATGGAAGCTCCGACATATCACTGATATGGACAGAAAGCCATCTTGCATAATTAACATTGTTCAAAGCAAACATCCAAGGGACAAGTTGCTTAATTGACTGGAAGTATAAGGAGAAATTAGCTTCTCTAAATGATCGCAGTAGTTGTAAACATTGTAATTCTTGTTCCAAAACTCTGGTCCAATACAGAAACTGAGGATGATCCTTTGACATATCTTCTTTCCAAATATGGAATTCTTTAGCTTCCCCATTGTCAACTTTCATCAGATACTCCTTATAGGCATCTTGTTGTAGGTAGTAGACTGGCTGCTGTAACTTGATGTGCGCGTCTTGTTCTTGCCACATGATTGCAAGCGATGAATGACTGTACAACACCTTGGTTAGCTATACATGCGTTAGTCAAATTTCGGTCCAGCCACTCCCATCAAGCCATTTTCCTAGAACTTTAAAAACCGTCATCTCAATGTGTAAGCCACCAAACATCACCACAAATTTATCTTCTCCATGACTGTTTGCAAGAGTCCATTGAATTTGCTTGGCTAAAGCAAATAGGGGCTGGTCTACGGCGATAACTGGAGTTTGAGAGTAGTTGACATGACGAACAGCTGATTTAACAACATTCATTGAATGTAATATCATCGCAAATGAATGAGCATTCTCCCGAAACATTTTGAGAAGTGCAATGATTGCCGGTTCGTAAGAGGTTGACGACGTTTTTGACGCTCGATATGCTGCCCATGAAAAAGTGTCGTCCTTACTCAGGTCTTCCTTTTGAACGAGATGTCGCACATGTTCAAGCCAGTCTTCCTCCAGATCTTGCCTTTTGTTGACGGTGGTAGACACAGTTTGCATAACGGTATGAAGTGGAGGGGCATAAAGTTCGCCACATGTTAGAGTCACTGGTGGGACATTACAAAATGATGGTGGAAGCTGTGAAATTTTTTTGGAACTAGAAATAGACGAATCAAATAAGTCTACTTCTCTACTCTCACCATTTTCATGAACTGTTGGATGCTGCACGAGCGAAATTGCTGTACCGTGGAAAGAGTCTTGTGCACTTGTGGAGCTGGGATTATGATCTATGTTGTCAACTGCTGCAGTTGTAAACAATCCTTTCCGTAACTTCGACGGACAAACAACATCATCACTCTCGTACCTTGCTATTACTTTATTAGCAATGTCGGAAGAAACAGATAAAAGCCGATCGTACGAGATACACAATCCCAACTTGAAAAAAGCGTCGATAAGTGATTTATCTCTCGTAGTTCCATGAATTTTGAGGGACGTGTATATTGGTACCGGACATTCTTTTTCTCTAGTGTGATGAGGTCTTGACGCTTCACGCTCGCGTGATGTTCAATTGAAGACAATAAGTTGAGAGATGGTTAAGCAAGCTTTATTTGGATGTCTTTCTGCCGGTTGTTTGTTTACAATGGCCCCTTTAAGTATCATATCTATAACAACTTTTAATGATGCTGGAACAGAATCCTTTTGACAATCTTCGGAGAATTTTCCGTTGAATGAGTTCTTTGTTTGAAATATATCTCTTCTTATAATCATAGCCGCTCTTGCTAAATGCCATGCTTCCGAATCTTCTTCCTTTGCCCTTTTACGAGCGTTTCCAATTTCATGTTTCAATACAAGTATAGTGTCTCTTCTTTGACTTTGATCAGTAAGATTGGGAAAAACAGTCAAGATTCTTTCCTTAAGTCTGGTAGTATTAATTGATCCACTTTCAACTCCTAATGCCTTCAACTTTATTTTAAAATATGTTGTCAGCTCCGTCATCTTAAGCAAAACTAAACAATCTGATTCTAGTTGTTCTTCAATATAAGCAATAAGTTCAGCAAACGCTAGCCCATCAAGACTTGGTCCTGAACGTTCAGCGTTTGTTGACGTCTCAGCCTTCATTGCCCTTGCTCGATTATAGAGAGAAATAAGACATTTAGGATGGTACTTTGCCTCCATTGCTACAATATCACGATTCGATACTTTTGCTATAAGATGTCTGTCGTTTAGCAAAACAGCACATTCCCTAACCTTGCCGTCTATCTCAAGCGTTGAAGCTGCACGAAGGTTTGAAGAGTTGTCTGGTTTATCACAGAAAATGCACTCGTTCTTTGAAACTGCAGGGAAGCTTGCTCTTCTGGCTTTAACTGGACTTCGTTTTTCGATTTCAGATGTTTGTTCTTCGTCTGTCTTCTCCGCACTTAAGCTTCTTTTCAGGGCACGTTCCAACTTTGTATTGTTGAAAAGATCCCTACATGACTTATGCCATGATGCTTGGCGTTCTTTCAGCGTTTCTTCTATTCCATTACCTCTATCGAGACCCTTTACGTCTAAATTCACCGGTAACATATCAATTTTAATAAATTCTTGCTGATTTTTCGCAAATGAGGAGTACCCAACT